TGAGGTATACTATATTGCAATGTATAAAAGTATCCAAAATATTTTATCATCATTGGAGGGTATATCCTGAGGCATACCCTAATGTTGATCTTTTACCAGGATCTGAGAAATTAATTCTTGTAGTAATTACTATGCACAGAATTTGACTTTATAGTAACAAGATAACTTTACCACTTATCCTTCAGAACGAACATGGCGCTTCCCCCCACTCATGCCACCAAATGCAGTCAAAGTATATGCCATCAATCCCAGCTCTATTCGTGTCACGTGGCGTGGTGTCACACCTACTCCTATGGAAGAACCACTCATTGGATACAAGGTTTGTGACAGCCTTTCTGTTCTTAAGATCTTTGGTTTGTTTTATGAGATAATTCATTGTTGGAAAAGTTAGGATACAGAATGAACATCATATGTTATTACAACAATGCCATTGATTTTAGAAATATCAACAGTTTTTGCACTGAAGTTAGAAATTGTACATTATGCATTTTATAAGCTATAGTCTCAATGTAATGATCTTGAACTTTCCATTTGCAGATTAAGGTTTGGGAGGCAGACCAAGATTTCACAAAGGCAAATAACACCCATGTTTTCATTGGTTCTCCCCTCGAGGCTTACATCAGAGATCTTACCCCCGGCAAAACATACAAGCTTCGAGTCCTTGCTTATTCGAGGGGAGGTGATGGTAAAATGTCCTCACCACCTTGGGAGTTCCAGATGGGTGAGTTGGGGTCCTGGTGAATGTTCTGTATGTGTTATGCTGTATTTATAAATCTATGATTGGGTTTGGTATTGACCCTTTGGTCTGGTCTCTGTCTTACTGTTGGATTCCAGGTATTTCCGTGCACTTTTAGTAAGCATAATGTTTGTTGAGCAAAGCTTAATTGCATCACATTTGAAAGGGGAAAGTCTTCAACTTTATATTTTTATAATGCAATTAATGGGTTAAATGGCATTCATTTGGTATTATGATATATGGATACTACCATGTATATTTAATGGCTACCTGATTTGCTTACAAGATCTTCAAGATCTCCCTTTTTTACACATTTGTGTAATTTTTTTTTCTTATTTGGTTTTGTAAAGAATGAACCACTTCACTTTGTAACTAGCACCAACTGTCAATGTAATGAACCACCTGTCTTCCTCATTCTTTGACTTTTTATGAAGTACTTGTCTATTTATTGTGGTCATTCTTTATGCTTTTTTACAGGAAAGCTCAGCCAGTGATATCTTTCATGACTTGAAGGCATATTTTGATATGAAAATTGGTTTCAGTTTTTGTTATGGTAAAGCTGGATCTTTATCCTAAAGTAAATGTCCTCTTTTTTTGTCGTCAGAGAACTTATTTATAATGTACATTTAGTTGTTGTGCAAGAAATTATCTCGGCAAAATTTGAAGAATGATCATGCCCCCAATAATTTCATGAGGTAGATGCAGATGTGTTCTCACCTCTTCCATTTAGTACACATACACAATTAAGGAACGAATATGTCTTCAGGTGATAGGTTATTATTGTTATTGATTGAAGAATGAAAATTGAATTCACAAATGATTATTGCTGGGTATAGATGAGATTGATACAACTCATATTATTTGCTAAAAAAAAAATTAAAATGTTGAATTTCAGAGAAAAATAAGCACTGAATATCTAATGCAAGATTTTTTTTCCTTTCCATCATCAACAACTAGGTGACCCAGACATCTTGAGGGGTGAAGCTCCATCTACCCATGCTGTTATGGACAAAACCCTCATCTGTACATTCCTGGTGGCCTTCCTCACTCCCCTGGTTCGCTCGTGGGTTAATAGGCATCACTGAATCCTGCCCGTAGAGAAAGCCTCACTTCGTAACACTTGAAGTAATGGAGTCATCGGTTCCATTGCCACTACGTCGTCCAGGTTAAAACTTGGCGATTCCTTGCGTTGCATCAAATACTTTTATTTTATTTTAGCCAGGGTTTATGTATAATGTGAATCTCATGACTTGCAGTAATTGCATGTTATTGTTTTATGTTGATGTCTTATTTTTATCAGACATAACATGTATTTAATGGAATTTATTTTTTTAGTATAACTTTCTGTTATTCAAAAGGGCCAAAGTTTGAGAATAATACAATGAAACATTCCTGTGTACAAAGATCAGATTTGAAACTTTAGTTATATAAAGTGTTGGTTTAAGGTATACAATTTTGATTTCTTACTTTTATTTTCATGCCATGTAAGAGTGTCAAGTTGCTCATATGATATTATTTAGGATGAGGTCTGTGGTGAGGTTTATGTATTTAGTCTTTTGAATTGTTAGGATTTGTAATGAGCACTTTTTATCAGTAAGATTTATCTCTGCAAAAGGTAGTGGTTCATGGACTTTAGTTATATATTTACATAGCTTAGCACAGTAATAGCTATTAAATTAAAATATTAATTATCTTTAGATTTTTTTTGCCATATGTCATTGCGAGATAATAAAAACCTCATCACTTAGGTTCAGTTTTAGTATCTACTTCCTTAGGTAGTTTTGAGATGTAGGTTGTCTTTTCTTGTAAACTTTCTAAAGACTGTAACAGAGTCTCATTCACAAATGTTTAACCAAAGAAAAGTGGAAGAACTGACAGAATGTGATGTCTGGTTGTGATTATGTAAATGACAACCATAATTTTCCTGTTCTGCCTAAATGCAATATTTGTACTCACTCATTATAATGGCTTAGCAAGTCCTCCATTGTTATCAGGAAAGTATTATGAGCAATAGTATTGTTACTATTTATATTTTTATGACACTTGTATATCTAAGAGGTAAAAAAAAAAAAAAAGTGCACAAATGTGACTAAGTCATAATTGACTTGTAATTCACAAATGTATTATGTGTAAAAGTATGCATAAGTAATGCAATTCTTTCTAAGCATATCTCATACAACCATAATTGCTAAATTGTATTCAAGTTTCCTGAATGATGATTGTCAGTAAATTCAGGTATGAATACTCAAATTGTATAATACTTATACTGTTGAATACATAGTGGCTTCATAAGTATTTTGAATAAGCACATTAAGTGGTATTATCATGTATGAAATGCAAGATCTATTCCTAAACGTAAGCATTGTTCAAACTTTCAGGAACTTTGGCGTGCCTTTCTTCCATCCTTTATTGTATGGAATGTGGTTGTACCATATTATTGTGATCAAGTTTTAAAGCAATACTTTCAGAGGCACTTGAATTACAAGTGTTTAAAAACATTCTAACCATTTATGTATATTGACGTTTACATAATTTTCTTAATGATAGTGAAAGACAAATACTGTTTCTTTTTCTTAGTTCTTTAATGGGTATCAAGTTTTCTTCCAGTTATTGAATGAAACACAGATACCTGATCTAGAATTCCTCTGTATACTTAAGGAATTCCAATAACCAATATATTGATGTGTGACTGTACTTCAGTGTTTCCGTCCAGTTTTATAGTTTGTACAATTTTGTAAACTTTATGTGTACTTACATTTGATTTAAGATTGTGAAATATTTTAATTTGTTTAAATCAACACTGTCGTCTGTTATGCTGTATTCATATAAAAATATTTTACAACTATTTGTATTATTGAACATTATTCTTTAATTTTCCTCATATATGATTAATTCTTAATGGAATGAGTTTATGGCTGAAGAATATTTTAAACTAAGTGATGCAACCCGTACCTCTCCTTTCCCCCCACCTATCCTCCCAACCTATTAAGACATCCTTAGAGAATCTCACACTCTCCACTTTGACAACCTGTTCTCCTTCCTCAGATGCATACATATCATTCACTTGATCTAATTCCCCTTACCTACCCCTGCTTTAACCCATTTGCTCATCAACTCCTATACCCATCTTTAACCTTTTCAATTTGGACAAGATAGTTGACGTATAGCAACTAACTACTAACTCAACTACCCTTCACTATCCTTCCTATAGAGCTGCATGACCTTAGATGTCTAGCACATTTATTTTGTTTTTAACCCCTTGCCGACAGACATGGCATGTACGTACATGCCATGCCCATTGTGAGTTTACTTGTTTAATTGTTTTAACATATAGATGGCTACACTTGTACTAAATCACCAATGAGCCAGTTACGAGTACTGCCTGTCTCTACCGTTCACCCTTTTCATCGATTTACAAAAATATTTATCGTTATCTTCTTTTGCTGTTACAAATGTTTATAACATTTTAGTAATTATAATGTTTATCCCTTCACCAACCTCCCAACCTATTAAGACATCCTTAGAGAATCTCACACTCTCCACTTTGACAACCTGTTCTCCTTCCTCAGATGCATACATATCATTCACTTGATCTAATTCCCCTTACCTACCCCTGCTTTAACCCATTTGCTCATCAACTCCTATACCCATCTTTAACCTTTTCAATTTGGACAAGATAGTTGACGTATAGCAACTAACTACTAACTCAACTACCCTTCACTATCCTTCCTATAGTGCTGCATGACCTTAGATGTCTAGCACATTTATTTTGTTTTTAACCCCTTGCCGACAGACATGGCATGTACGTACATGCCATGCCCATTGTGAGTTTACTTGTTTAATTGTTTTAACATATAGATGGCTACACTTGTACTAAATCACCAATAAGCCAGTTACAAGTACTGCCTGTCTCTACCATCCACCCTTTTCATTGATTTACAAAAATATTTATCGTTATCGTATTTTGCTGTTACAAATGTTTATAACATTTTAGTAATTATAATGTTTATAATAAAAATAACACCATCTACATTTATAGCACAAGTAAAAATACATTTTTTGCGTCAATTCAAGGAAAGGTGAAATCCTTTATGGCTAAGCACTAGTAGTGCCATCTAGTAACAGGGACATTTCACAAAAATATTAAAAAATGAGCACAGTAATTCCCCCCATTTTTTAATTCATTTCCCACATCGGGAAAGGGTTAACCATTAACCATAAAGAAGTATGCTGATTCATATTAGGTATTAATAAGCCATGCACATAATATCTTACATATTTATTAAATTTTCAGGGTAAAAAAGAATGACAAAATCAATAAACTTTTGTGTGTGGGTATCAGTACCTTGCAATGGCTTTTTGTGCAATCCATCTGCAAGGAAACTCTGGAACCGCAGGAACAGCTTGAATCTCTAGAGGAGTCCCTAGAATTTTCAAATAATTATTCAATTATGCAAACTATTTCTGTGTTATGTAGTATTCCAAGCAAACGTTGCAAAAAATTTACCAATATATTAATTTCTACTTTTATTTGAATAGTTGCATTCTGAATATATTGTGAATATGTTTCAATGTCCAAAAAAAAAAAAAAAAAAGAAAATCACAAACACCAAACATGGAAAACAACTTGAAATAATTTTAATTAATAAAAATATAAAATGAGCTGTGATATACTGTGAAATACATTATTGAAGGAGTCATTTAGAATGTCAATATACCAAGAACTGGTAAAATAAAAACTTAAGAGATATTGCGTAATGCATTACAAACTGCTTCCAAATGTAGTGCAAATTCTCGGCTATTAAATCCTGTCACTAGCATGAGAGATTGATTATTTAAAATTATCTGCCACGTCAACAGCTAAGGTCATTAGCAGTAGCATGAGAGAGAAATAATAGAACCCTAATACAATTAACATATTTCCAGCAATGCATTATCCATACAAAACAACACAGTATGACTAATCTACTTATACAATCATTGCTTTCTTAAAAGAAACTTTGGCCAACTTGCATCATTAACTTGTGCCTAATCAATTGAAATCACTTATCTATAATTACCTTCTGAAAGTGATTCCTGAAGATCAAAGTTACTTAGATGTATGCTGTCTAGATATGTATTCTTACGATGAAAGAAAACCGTCTCCCAAGTGTTGTGCCGCACCATCCACAGTGCAAGCCCACATTCTTCATTGAAGAGGCTTAACACATTACCCTTTCCTTCTCTAACACTAGTATTTACTTCAAAAGCCTGAGAAAATAGAGAAACAAAGTTAATCTATGATAAACACATATCTTTCAAGTCAGGAATAAGCACACAACTAACTGCAAAAATATATATATATATCTTTCACTGTAAAGTAATAATTTCTTAGAACTTTTTCATAATGTACCCAGTCAAGTATGGGGGAGGTGCAGGGGGGGGGGGGGTTACACACAAGTGAAATATAATAAGAAAATATTGCTGAAGTGTTTGAGCAGTGACACTGCATTTGCCAGGTTGCATCCAACAACCAAACTTCATCCTATAGCTTTCTATACACTTTCTTTTTTGGACTTGTCAATGTGTTTCATCACATGACTTTAAAAGTATGGAAATGGTGACATGACACTTGAACAAAACAATGAATGTATTTCAGCAAAAAAAACACAGAAAATTACTCGGCTCAATCTCTCTGCCTGGAGGAAGGGATATCATACTTCAGTCAAACCCGTCTTCATAGCGACACTTACTTTATACCCTTGTTTTTCCGTCAAACCCTGGGGAAGGCCAAGACTAGGGAAATCCTCGGAAGTGTCTCTAATGATTCCACCAGCATTACTTGCACTGTCATCAGCAGTGACATCATCACTCGGTCCAGACAGTGTCCAGGTACTGCCCTGTGCTAGAAATACATTGCAAGTTAGAAAATACATACAGGTATACAACTGCTAAGGTTAAGCCAGAAGTGTGGTTAAAAAAAGTCACCTTAACTGAATAAAGGGAAATAAGAACTAGTGGGACTAAACTGGTAAAGAACCACCAATGGTAAATATACTATACAACATCCTTGTAACACTGTATACCACATCCATTTAAGCACCTCAAAGGGGAAAAGAAATGTATTATGTAGGATACATAAAAGAAAAGAAAAGAAAAGAAAAGAAAAAAAAAAAAATCAAATCTTTTTTAATACAGTAATTTCATTAATTTTCATACTAGACATAACTATTCAACATCTAATTGAAGGCAAACACAGGACATGGTACAAAACAACTTACTTGTAGGTCTTTTGCCCTTCCAGACTTGCGTTGCAAACCAAGTGCAGTAGTAATTATCTTCGGAAGGTTCGCACTGCTCAGCGTCAAATTGCAGTGGATCATTTTCGCTCAAGATGTCCCTGAGATTTTTTTTATTGGACATCCGCTTGCCAAAGTAATAAAATCTGGATCGTACAAAGATAACCCGTTGTTCCTGGAAATGTTTAGGGGATGATATTTAGTAATACATCTTAAAGCTAGTCAACCATGAAAAGAAAAGAAAGAGAGACAGAAAAGAAAAGAAAGAAAGGGGAAAGAAAGAGTTAAGCCTGAAAGAAAGAAAGAAAGAAAGAAAAAAAGGTAATGAAAGAAAAAAAAGAAAGAAAAAAAGAGAGAAAAAGAAAACGAGAGAAAGAGAGAGAACAAAAATGTAAATATAAGAAAACTAATGAAAAATAAAGTTAAATAGAGAGAGAGAGAGAGAGAGTGCAATCTAGGCCTCACCTCATCATAAAAGTCGAAGGT